AGTTCTTTGTCTTTAATGATTCTGCTTCAGGGAACTGTCAATTAATAATCCCTGGAGGGACCACCATGAAGAATTTTTGTAATTAGATTATAATGCAAAGGTTTGCTGAATCATGATATTTTTTAAAATTTTAGTTATGATTTTTGGGCAATGACCCCAATCTTCCCATCTTTTACATTCAACTGCCTTTTTAATGCCGACTTTCTTCAATTTCTCTTATTGTGCTCATTCTCTTTTTAAAGTTTGTGAGTATAATTAAAACTACCCTACCTTTGAGAACCCTCTGTTCTCACCTAGCAGAATAAATGAAATATGGATACAAAGACTGAGCATATAAATTACCTCTAAAAAAGAAAATGCCTTCTACATAAAGCTTTTTGATTCTCTTTAATTTTTTTTATTCTACAGCTTGATGGCTATTTTTTCTCTCTAGTCCAGTGATCTTGTTATTAAAGCATTCTTGTAAAGGTAATTTAGCACACATGCCTCATAGTTATTAACCAAGTTCTACTACATTCAAATACCAAATCACTTTGCAAATGATACTTCCTTCCTCTAGCAAAATAGCTTGGGGTGTGGGAGGACCAGGGAGTTTCTTAGTTGTCCTGAGTGACATTTAAAAATTCTACAAAAGTAGTGAAAATGGCTATGGGTCTTTTAAGCAAATATTCATAACTCTGATAAGGATGCCATTCTGAGTGTACATTCTCATAAATCAATGACATTAAAAACATGTGCAAACAATTTATTTGAAAAAAAATTATATAACTAATACAATAGAGTCAACCCTTGACCTAGAAGAAAGATTATGAGGGTGGGGCACAGAAGAAATGCACAAAAAAGGCCTCAAACCCACAAACACACTTGCCTAAAATCTTTGCAATGAAGTGAACAAAATATATTCTTTTAAATTGTTAATATTTTTGAAAATCATAATACAGTATACAGTTGTCATTTGTGAAGTTTTAGAAGCCAGAGATAACTTTACGCTTACTTAATCATAAAAAAACAGAATAAAGGCATTTTACACATCGCCTTCATTATATAGGGGAGGAGACTGAGGCCAGAGGAATCTTCAGGCGTTTGTCCAAGGTCATCAACATGCAAATACCAGGCTATACTGAGGTCAAGGCAGAAGGATAATGCATGCCTTATAAGTTTTATTGTCATTGTTAGGGAAAAAATAGGTACAATGCAGTTACTATGTACAAAGTGATATAATTTGGCCTGAAGCTTAGGCAAGACCACAGTTGGGTGCTTCATAACAACTGTTTTCTGTTTTTATTTGGATTTTGGGTAAAAGATAATGATATTTATGCATTTTAAAGATAGGTTCATTATAGGACAGAGTTTTGTAGAACTCAAAGTTCTTTCTCTCTTTTCCCCAGCCCCCAAATAATTCAAACTCTCAACTTCTGCCCTTTATTTCCCATTCAGAAAAAGAGTCATACAAGTGAACCAAACCAAATCAACCAAAACAACTAGTTATAGTTAACAGAATTATCAGTATATTTCAGATTAATTTGAATTTTTAATTTCTTCTGGTTTTAATTATCAGGAAAATTATTTAAAATCACTGTTTCCTTTTGTTAGCTCATTTTAATTCTTTTAAAGATATATTTCTTGGAGAAGAAGATGTTCATTTCAGATTGGATCATGTGGACTTGGGAAAAGCAGAGGGCGGAGGATTGTGTTTTACCATGGTTATAATTGACATTGAGTTTATACGTGTATTTAGTTGTGTCACACATAAAATTTAGAGAATGACTTCCAAAAGGATTCTCAACATAAACTTTTCAGAATACTATCTGAAAAAATTGACACAAATACCATACTACTTAAGGACACATTTTTGTTCTATCCTGGTAAGGCTGATTGTGGATGTATCCTAAGAGAGCATTTTAGAGCAGGGTAATACTTTAAGCAGAAGAGTAAATAAAAATCGTGTCCTTATTGTTTTTACTTCTCTTCTTTTTTCTGATAGGAGAGAAGGAGGGTGAATGAGCCATCCTTGTCTCCCATGGCCTCCCACCCCCCCAATGTTATGTCATTAAAATTGGAGAGGGTTAGCAGAAACAATGGTAAGTTTTACCTGGCTTAGTGTCCTTTTCTAATTGAGTACTATAGGAAATGAAGACTCTAGCAAAGATACACAAAAATGAAAATCCACTGCTGTTTCATATCTCAGGCCAAGTTTCTCATAGGATCCGTTAAGAGTTGAATGTCTGGGCAGAAGGTCTCAGGTCATTACCATAAAATGCTCTTTGGTACCCTCTGTCACAGAACAAAGTGTCAGACCAATTCCCATTACTAGGTGCCTGTGGTGCTTTTCTTAAATAATCAGTCCCATTCAGTCAGAGATTTTAAGGTTCTTCATCATCTCTCTATTTCATAAGCAGTAATTTTTAAGGCTAAATGGCACTAGAGGCAGAATGTTTTTGAAGTAAGGTTTAGAAAAAAGAACTTAGTATATCCCAACGCTGGCCTGATTCTTTCTCATTTTTGCCAAAGGTCATATTCCAAGTTCAACCCTGACAGCATTGTACGTGGGCATCTGGGGAGAGGTAGGCAATATTCATTCCTGCTCTACACTCCAGCCTGGGAGGCCTGGGAGCTCACGTACAAGTGGGGATCAATTTTTAGGATGCCCTCTTGAATCCTAGAGAGTGGAGACAGACAAAGCTTCCCTTGCTCTACTTTGACCCTTGAGGTTCAGATATGGGTGCCCTTACATTTGCTTTTCTTCTTTAAACTTAAGAACATGAACAACCAGGTAAATGAAGATAGGCAAGGTAACACTGCAACTATGCTATATATAAATGTGCAGTTTTTCCAAAGTGCATTTTCAGAGTCCCACTTAGAAAATGTGCTTCACTGCCTTACTCTGCATATGCCCCAATGAATTCCAAGAGGTCATAGCAACAGAGTACAACTTTTGAGATTAGAAGAGTTTGCTCTTTAAAGAGCTATTTTTAGCTGGAAGGGAAAGTGTAGGCCTCAAAGTGCCTGGCAGTATGTCCTCCAGTGGGAATCTAAATTGCAGGTCTGATTCCAGGGGAAGGTCTCAGTGGGGTTCTTTCTGCCTTTGCTTCTGGAAAGGGTGGTTCTGCTCATTGTCAGTGTTGGGGGCTGCGGGGTTAGCAGTTCCTCCAGGGAAACTCAACCTATAGTCATCCAGGACCTATTGTGTCTGGGCACCCAACTGACCAGAAACGCTGGAGCCTGAGGTGTCCAATAGCCACACTGGAGGAAAGCACTCCCGATTCATTAAAAATCCCCATCCCATCGTATTTTGATGCCATCAAGTAGGGCTCCTGAGATAAATTTCAGCCCAACTCTTACAGATTATTAATCGAGTTTTCATTGTGTAGAGGGCATCATTCCAGGTCAAGCTCTGGTGAAGGGGAGGACTTGGAGGGGTAACCAGCAAAGTGGACAGAGATGGGGGGCGGAGGGGGGGTGGTGGAACGTAAAATGCTTTCAGCCGCACTCAGACTTGTGGGCTGAGCCTGGGCACCCCGAGGAGGCGCTGGCTGCCTGGCCAGCACTCGAAGGGCCTGGTCTTGGGATCTCATCCGATAGGGGCAAAGCTGGCTTGACGGTTGTGCTCTGGAGAGCGAGAGGGAGAAGAAAAGGACAAGGTTTGGGAGGAATGGCGGGATGAGGTTGAGACAGAGAAATACAGAGATGGAGAGGGTCAGAAATCCTGAAAGAAACACACAGAGGGGTAGACAGATGCAGCCGGAGGACGGGCACAGAGCACAAGAAAGAAAGGAGGCAAAGAGATACTGAGAGAGACACAGCAAGGGAGAGATGGAGAAAGACAGAGTCAGAGCAAAGAGGCCGCGAGCGGGAGACGCCGGTTGGTAGGGGGGTACCCGGAACGAGGGAGGGGGCGAAGGCTCCGAGCCCCCACCGGCGTCCCCCCTCCACCCCACACCCCTCGCTTGGCCCAGCCCGCGGCTAGGAGTCCAAGGCGCAAGGTCGCCAGTCCCTGGGCTGTCGCGCGCTCCACGGCTGGCGGGTCCGCAGCGCCCCGCCTCGGGCCCCGCAGCCACAGGTCCGCGAGCCCCGCGTCCGCGCGCGAGGCGGACGGGGGTGGGGTGGGGGGTGGGGGTGGGGGTGGGGGGCGCTGCCCCTGCTGCGCCCATTCCTGCCCTACGCACCGCCCACTACGCTCCCCTCCGCTCCTCTGGCGGTCGCAGCTCTCCTTACAGCCCCCTCCCCCCACTCCCCCGGGGACTGGGCGCTGCGGCCACCAGAGCCACCGCAGAAGCCACGTCCCGGTCCACCGAGAGCCTGGGCGAGGGATCTGTTTATTCGGGGTATTAATTAGTCTTTGAGGACTCGTTCACCCACGTGCCAATATAACTGCCCGTGTCGGGAGGGAGGGCGCCGCGAGCGGCCGGCCCACCGAGAAGGCACGACTCCGGCGGCGCCCCGACCCCCAGCGCGCTCCAGAGCGTCCCCCAGTGGCCGGGCAGGACCATGCACGGGGCCTGCGACCCGGCTCCGGAGCGGTTCCCCGGCTGCCCGGGGTCGCGGTAGACGCGCTGCCGCGGGGTGCGCCAGGAGCCTCCGGGTCTCGCCACCCGCCCCTCCCTCAGAAACTCGGACCGTGGGCGCTTGCCGTGTGGCTCCTTTCTTCCGGAAGGCCAGTGCTTTCTCCCTCCAGTTCAAGTCCCGAGGACTTGCCCAGTCTCCTCCCCTTAAGTCCTTTCCAGCATCCTCCGGCAGCCTCGGGAGCAAGGAGCGCCGGACTGCTCGTCCCGGAGCCAGCGCCGGCGGTCCCAGTCGGTCCGGCGCTTTCGCCTTTCTCCCTCCCTTCCTTGCTCCCTCCCTTTCTCTCTTCCCCTCTTTTCTCCTCTGCTTCCCCCGCCCTCTCTTGCCTCTTAAGTTTCCTGCACCGTGAATCCAACTGTTCCGAGCCTAGGCTCCCACCGAACCAAGCCTGAGCGCGACGCGGGCACTGAGACGCCGACTCCGCCGAGGCTGGACGAGGCAGCGGGACCGGTCCGCGCCTGAGCATGGAGATGAAGCGCCAGGGAGGGCATGTCCGGGGCGCCGGAGACGCCAGGCCCGAGTAGCTCCTCCATGGAGCCTGCCCAGAGCGACCCCTGCTCGCCGGTTTCGCCCCCAGCCCTGTGCGGTACGTACACTTCGCCTCCACAGTCCCGGAGAGGATGTCTTGGGGCGGCGCGGTGGGACACCGCGAAGGGGCGGCGGGAGGGCCACTGCTTGGGGGACAGAGTACGCCTGGCGGGTGACCTCACAGACCCGGGCAGCCTTCCACTCTAGAAGTTAGCGACTGACGGTGCCCCTTGGCTCGAAAAAAAAAAAAAAAAGTAGTGCCAAAGGATGTGCTTGTATGCGCGTGTATCTGTGCAGAAGGGTTGCCTGGGTAAACTGAGCCCAGCTTTACTGTATGCAAATTGCGTTCCCTTTCCCCACCCCCACTCCACCGACTGTGCACCCACCGCCTAATCCTGGTCAGCTCTACCTACCCCTTCCTCTTCTTGTGCACCCCCCCCAGTCTCTCTCTAGCTCGCTTTCCCTCTCTCTTTCTCTCTCTGCTGGTGTGTACGTGTGTGAGCCCTGCCAGGGCTGGCGAAGAACCAGCCGCCGCCTTTAAGTCCGAGCCGCCCGGCCATCAAACACTAGGGCAGGTCCCGCTGCCAGAGACGCTTGGGCTCCCAACCAGCTTGCACGCGTCTCCGTGTGCCCCGCCACCTCCTGTCTCCACCGCCCGGGAAGTCGCACCCGAGGAGTGCAGGGCGCAAGGAGCCCCTCATCCTCCTACCCTCCTGCCCGCCTGCCTGCGGTCCGGGCGCTCGCTGGTTTCAGGCGCTGGATTTACTCGCTTTTCAATTTTTCCTGCCCCCCCCTTCCTGGTTTTTGGTCCACCCCTCCCCTCCACGACCCCCTTTCCTCGCTTGGTCGCCAAGCCTAACCTTGCCCGCGTGGTCATGGGATGTCTAATTTCATTTGTATCTAGGCTGCTGAGAGCGCTCCTTGCTCTGTAGAGTGGATGTCAGGTGGATCTATGTTTTTGAAGGAACAAAGACTCAGCGAAAGCACCGCCGAGGAAGTTTGAGACGCGGGAGGATGCAGGCTGCGTGCTGGTACGTGCTTCTCCTCCTGCAGCCCACCGTCTACTTGGTAAGTCGCTGCCGATCCCGCGCCCCCGCAATCCCACCCTGGTCGCGAGGCCAGACAACCGGGGGCGCACGGGAGGAGGGTGAGTCCGCCAGTTCAGCGAGAGCAGCGTTCCTGGCGACCGTGTTGGAGCAACTTTGGCAAGCTGGTCTTTGGATCCCTGCGGGATTTTCCGGGGTTCCCACCCTCCTATCTTGCTCAAGTCTCCCCTCTTCCTGCGTGTGATTCTGAACAGCGTCTAGGGCGCCCTGGACACCCAGAAAGCGAGGAAATAGTGGGACGGGATGATTTATGGGGAGAGAGGGCAAAGCGAAAGGCTTGAAGACATGGAAACTCTCATTAGTTCATCCACAGAGTTTGAACGAAAGGAAATGGAGGTAGGGAGTGCGGAGCACGAATCTGCCTAGGTCTGTGACTTTGAAAGTGCACCCACCCACCTAGTCCCCCAGTTTGGAGATACCGCACGTAAAGAAGTGCAAGGTAACTTTGTTCGACCTGTAGGGTTCAGAGGATAAGTAAATCAGATAACAGCACCACAGGCGATGAGATAGAGTTAGGTCAGGGATGCCCCGGCAAACATGCAGCGGCTCTCCGCCCTCTCCTCCCAATCTCTTCTTTCCACCAGATAACCGAACCCCAGTTCCAGCGCCGAGCTTCTTACTAGGGAATGGCAGACCTTGTTATCAGGAAAATACTAAGCAAACCCACTGCCTCAGTCTTTCTGGAGTGGAGTTTCGGGGGTCTGGATTTTGTGCACTGTTGGGACTGGAGGTGGAGGTGAACTGGTAGCTGTGGGCACCGCGTGGAGCCAAGGCGGAGAGCATTTTCCCATGTCTGGCCTCAGGGAGGGCCAGGGACACTCGCACCCTGCTGGCGAAGTTGTGTTCAGTGCGCTGACTCCCCATAGCTTATTTCTGAGCCACAAGAGTGCCCTGAGGGCTCAGTGTGTTCTGACCAGGGGCAAGGAGCACTGGAGCGGCCTGAGCTCTCTGACGGGTCTGGAAAAACGGGAGAGAGGGGCGGTGCCTTCGTCCCTCAATCCCAAGAGCTTCAGACCCCACAAGCCTGGGAGCAAAAGTGTTGCCAACCCCGAAATTGAGAGCATTTCCCAGCTGTTGCCCTGGTGCATGTGACTGCGGGGCTGCTAGTTGTGTGAACTCTGTGTATGTTAATGAGTGTAAACGCGTGTGTGAATATGTATGTGAGGGTGTGTGCATCTCACGGGTCTCAGCTTCACAGTCCAAGAACCCTCGGTGTTGCCTGTCTTTGCATCTTTATCGCTTGACTGTCGCAGCCGCGGACGCCAGAGGGCGCTGCACGTCAGTGTCCTCGCCTACAGGACACCTTGGGGTAAACAGGTGAAAGCCAGGGCAGCCAATACAAAAGAATAGCCTTTCTGACTCAGTCACCGAAGTCTGTGCCTTTCCCGGCTGGCTGGAACGCAGACAGAATGCAAAAATTGTCCTTCCCATTTCCCATCTTCAATCATTCTTGCCCGCACCTGTGTCCAGTCAACCCACTGACATTGAGAGCCTAAAGACCGGGGGGCAGAAAGTTTGGCCAGAGGAAATACAGCAATTGCTTATTGAAAGAAGGGGAGGACCGCAAAATGGAAGCTACAGGGGAGGGACATTAACGATCCCCTTGACCATGGAAACCCTCCTGCCCCTTTGCTCTGCATACCTCTACACCTGACCTGAACCTCAGGACTGTTCTTACGTCCTTGGACTGTTGCTTACACACGGCAAAGGCTCGTGGCTGTGGTGCAGTTTATTGCTTGGAGCAAGTGTTTCGATAGTCTGGAAAATAATCTATCAAAAGCAGAAGTGAAATCAATACGTTGTGTTAAATTTTAAATGTGTTTGTTGGCAGTTAAACCGTTTTCCACTCATTACAACAACAGTGCTGGATTTATTCTAATGCGCTGCGTTCTCAACAACAAGCGCATTAATTCTCCTTTAATTGTAAACTGGGAGCATTTGAAAACCATTCAGTGTGCAAATTATGCTGATTCAATTACCGTTTAGTTACAGACTTCATTACCTGAATGCCTTTTGGCAATACGGAGAAAGGAGACAATTTTTCCAATTTCACTCAAAACAATACGAAATGTGAACAATAAAATAGAGAAGGCGATTTAGAAGTCCATTCTTTTCTCTCCGATCTAAAGTTGTTTTGTGTGTCGGGGATTAGAAACCACACGGCACCACAAAAACAAAAGGCTGGTGGCTGTGACCCAAGGTAGTATTTCCAGGGATTGTAACCCCATAGTTATTTGCCCACAGAATTCCAAGATATTTTCCAGGAAGAGCGGGGACTGGTTTTTACTATGGAAATAAACTTAAAGAGGTGAATTGGGCAGGAAGGACAGGTGTGGTTCTAGGCAGGTAAGGAAGTGGAGAGCCTTGATTAAAACTCTAGGGCAATGAGGCAGACCAAGTAATGGTCAAAGCTTCTTTCTCCATCTCTTTTATTAAACATCACATACAGTAACTGAATTTATCATTTTTTTGTACCTGTATCTTAGAACATCCCAGATCTTTGCAAGAAACTGCAATAGATGCATGCAGTTTGTCAGGAATTGAACTGCTTCAAGTTACACCCCAAGAAGGCAGGAGTGGCAAAAACCATTATTTTATCTTATTTTTTCTCCCTGAGAGACCATAAACCAAGAAGGAGTTTAATGAGTAGTTTTATATCTTTAAGAGCTCACACAACAAGTTAAGTGAGAGGGTGCTCTATATATGCATTGCCTCCTAGCTGATAGCACAGTACACCTTTCTCTTTAAGCCCCCGGAATTCCAGTTATGTTTTCTAAGGAGTGATTGTCACATTATGTTCAGGGGACAAGATTTGTTTAGGTATCTCTTGTACAAAAATATTCCTGCTTCTGCTTATAGAGAAATGCCTTAAATATTCCCAAATTGGCGATTAAAAAAAAAAAAGAAAAAGAAAAACAATTCTCTACCTAACAGGTCAGGGCTCTGTTCTTAAGCCACACTCTCCTGCCTGGATTTGAGTGAATGTTTTTAAAATGTTTCTTGGCTCAGGGTTCTTTGAATTTCTGTTTTAGCTTAAGGATTTGAGTGTCTTTTTTTGTGTGTGTTTATTGAGAGATGTGTCTGTCCTATTTCAAACTGGAAGCTTATTTAGTACTGCAAAGCAAAGTTAATTAGAAATGTGTCTACAAAGTAACCTTCTGAAGCATATTAGCTAGGGATAATGGGGATAACTTCAGCCATAAATGCAGGGAAGTAGGAAACCATTTTTTAAAAAATAAAGGCAAGGAAATTTTTTGTCTATTGAATTTTGTGTACTTATTGTAGATTTTAAAGTCTCAATTTAGTAGGAGAGGAACCTATGGCATAACAATACTTGTTTAAAAATAAAAAAAAAAAGGTCCTGCAATCTTTATTCTCCTGTCAGTTCTGGACTGATTCCAGGATGTTCTCAGTATGATAGAATTGGGTAACAGGACAATGGGATTTTCACTGAATTGAAGCACACATTGGATAAACTAGGAATATATTGTTTCTGGTTCTGAAGAAAGGGAGTTCTAAATTGGGTTCTTTTTGGTGGATCAAACGGAAGAATAGGCCAGGGTACACAGGGAGAACACCTGCCAGCAGAAAGCAGAGGTGTCTTGTTGGGGGCTCACCTGTGGCAATTTTCGGAGTTCAGAACTGAATCTAATGAGCTCTCCCTGGGCATGTCAACAAAAAAGTTACTCAGAAATTGAGTCCAGAGAATCTGGCAAGGGGTTGCATGATGTTATGGTGATCAGTCACACATCCACAGTTCTATTTTTATGAGAAGAGGCTTCTTATCCTCCAACTTAGATCCCATCAGTTCTGCTAGAAATGAAAATTGCTAATAATCTAGTTGCTTTTTTAACCGATATGGTCAAGAATTGAAAAATTCTTTCTAAACATTGTCCTTAAAAAGATTTTGAGTCAATTACTCCCTCGAATTTAGGGTGTCCTTAAAATGTGAATACCACACCAATTGTTTAATAGAGATTAAAGAGTGATTAATATATCCATAGAATACTATCTCTTTACTATTAGAAGCCAGACAATTTTGGTGAATTTTACTCAGTGTGAAGGTGGCTGTTAAGAACTGAGGAAGGTGAGGGAAAAAACAGCAGGAGAGAGACCATCAAAGTCTGTCCTTTGGACTAGGTATGGGCACTGTATTTACATCCTTTGAAAATTAAGCCACTGTCCACTGAAAATTTTACAATTTGAGCTTATTCCTGAAAAGAAGAGTGCATTAACTCCCTAACAGTGGCTATTCAGTGTTTTCTATTAAGGCCAGTTCTTGGAGGCAGTACTAAAAGTTCCCTAACACCACTGCATTTTTCTATCCCACATCAGCGTTCCCGATAAAGGGAGAATTAAACCTAGATGTTTGAAGGATCCTGTGCCCCGGGAATATAACATGAAAATTTATCAGTCCCAAGACATATTCTAGGGCTCTGTGGGAGAACAAGTTGCTACTATTCCAGGCATTTTCCTGAAATGTTCAGTTTTCCATTGACCAAGAAAGCAGCTCCTCCACCGGTGTGTGGGAAGCACTTGGGTGGGTTGCCCTTCTGCCACACTTCAGGAGGATCATCGTGGTCTGGGGCCTTCTAGTGATAGCTTCTGGGAGAAACTGCCTTCAGTATTAGAAGGGGGAAAACCACAATTACTCCAACTTTCTCAGCTGTATTTTCCCAGAAAGCCATTAAGTTCGTGGCTCCTCTTTGTGTGAACTTGATTTCTATTTGGCTTTGAATTGTTGACGGCTATTTCCTTCTTAATGAAAGTGTTGTCTGGGTGAAAAACATATCTGGTGGCAGGAAAATTGGTTGATTTTTTTGAGATAGGTGCCCAATGTCCTACTTTTCTATCTGAGGGAAAATTTTCTGCAGACTACAGAAATTGACAGCATTGTCCAAGTAATAACCACCGTGGACAATATTTTCAAAAAGACATTTGAGTGATGAAAGCATTTGGATA